AAAAAGCAAATGTTATAGCTACTGAATCCGTTAAATGCTAAAAAAAAATGCAAAACCTGTTTTGGCAGAAATATTTAGAGGAGTGCAAACCAAAGCAAAATATTCATGATATTTCAAAGATAGCAATTGAATAATAACCTCTACCGGAAGTTATTGACTCTTACTTGTCACAATGCACAGGGTCATTGCAAGCTTTAACTACAATGATGAACAACAAAATGTACGTTAAACTCAATTAAGACAAATATTCTTTTGCCGAAAGTATTTCGTCATAACTTGAATCCAATGTTTTTAATGATTATTTACAGCCACATAGATGTTTATCCAAGTGAATCGTATTTTACAAGAATATGTTTTAGTCTAAAACTCCAAGAAGAAACAAAATACTACTGGACAAATTAACAAATCGACATTGTTCCTGTTTATGACACGATACATACCATCCTTTAAAGTATATTATTTAAACGCAACTCAAAACTTTACTAGAAAACATTTCGGTATTTTTTTACCGATAAAAATGTCCGGTACAGAAAGATAAAAGTTCGGCATGCCAATAAACCCTTTGTTTTGGTTTAATTTTGTTTAACGTCCTATTAACAGTTAAGGTCATTTAATGATGTGCCTCCATGTGTGTAGTGTTTGCGTGCTTGCGTGTGTGCATGCAGGATAATGGTATGTTGGTATGCCTGCCCCCTAATGATAACTTTGATCTGATGCCGACTTTATAGTGCTATCTCACTGAAATGCCACGCCGAAGGAACCAAGCACAGCATTTCGCCCGGTCATATTTTGCAGACAACGGGTGAACCAGTTGTTGCCATTCTCCTTAATGCTGAACGTTAAGCAGGGAATAACAACTACCATTTTTAACACGATTGCTCATGATTCTATCGCAGATTAGAACACGGTCCGTATCAAATCAAAACACGCGTTCCAAACGAATCATGTTAGAATACCTTTTGAACAACTGGGCCTCGATGTGTCATTTGGCCTCAGTGTTACAGCACTGCTGGCATGTCGGTACCTATAACCTCCCACTAGACTGGGTTGTTTTAGACGAGACGTTTGTCTTGTCCTCGATGTTACAGCGCTCTTGTTACGCCGATAACTATCATGTCCCTCTACATAATTTTTTACCCGGCATAGCAGCAGTTTCGGTACGCCGATACATATCAGATTCCTCACCGTTCGCTGATATGCATTTGATCCCTCAGCATCGTGGCGTTCCAGACTTGTAGCGTCCTTTGCCTTAATTTTTCGTATGTCTTTTTCTGTTACTTTCATTTAGAAAAACTGTGCATTATTCTATTAAATGCGTCGCAAGATATTAATCATTGTGTATTAAAAGCGTAATAGACAAATACTTCAGAATAATTACAATGGTAATCAAATATTTAGACTAGATGGTAAAAAATGTTACCTTAACGGCACCGCAAAGCATGGCATTTGCTCCCATGGTTTAATTACTGTTCAGTGGGGAAAATAGATATATATATCAACGTTATAAGTGCATATATATATAGCTAGGACGTACAATAACGGTCACAACGTACAGGGGTGTGGTTGACTAGCTGCTGATTTATACAGGTAAAGAGAACAACACGTACATGTATGTGTCGGAAATCTGCAATACAGTATTGTACAGGCAACTGGTACATAAGCATATGTATATTTTATACGTTTTTTTATTTTGCAATGTAAGTCATCAATATTCGCGGGAAGTCTTAAATCATCTGATCTAAGAATAATGTTTCGGTATTTATGTAGCCTCCCATGAAATGAAGGAAACTCCCAAACGTTTTTTTTATTGGATAACACTAATTGTCGTCGTTAGGTCAAACCAACACCGAAGATGTAAAGCAATGCTTGTTAACGAAAAATTACCGACAGGAAAATTTCAAAACCGTCCACAGCAGCAACGTTGTCTACTACAGAAGAGAACAGGTTTATTATCACCTTGTGGTTGCTGATATTGCCTGAAACCTTTTTGATATTCATTCCTGCTAGACCATTATCCATGAAACAGGCGTTATCCTCGTGGGCTTCACCATATGTAGATTTAAAATTTGTACGACAAACATGATAAATATGCAAGAAATTATGATGTTATACTATTTGTACAACTTTTTTTATTGTCCGCGGATAGAATAAAATTGGACCGAGAGAATCTTAAACATGCGCACGAGTATTTGTTAAAACTATGACATTCCGAATACTGAAGTTGGATATACTTTGTACCATTATGTATTAAACAAATTTTGTCAGTGTATCCTAAACATGTCCCTCGAGGTGTAGCGTTTCTCTACCATTTTTCCATGAACTGATTGATCCCAGATTATGTTGTTCCCCAGTGTTATTGTTTTGTAGCGGAGCCGCCTGTTCAGTAGCGTAACACAACGATATTATACAATATTTACAGTTTTCTGTTCAAGCTAAACTCACAGAGACAACTGGTAACGCTAGACTTACTAAAACTAGCTGATAACGCTAGACTTGAAATGTTAATTTGGTACTGGTGGCGTACTCTGTAGAACTAACGTAAAGTATTAACTAAACTCAAGTTTTGTGTTCCATATAGACATATTTATATGACATATAGTATGATATACTCAATATTTATCGCACAAATATTTACATAATTACATCCGTAACACCGCGATTCGGCTATTGCAGCTCTAATACCGGATATACATAACAATTGCCACTCGCCGTTCATGTACATGCGCACTCTCACAACAATGGCAGTCTCCATTACACTTCAGAACTCGCACCAAGACTCGTCGATATGACGGTAACAACAGTTATAATACACACACCTAGGTTTACATGAACGATTCAATTAATATATAAACAATACAAAAATGTATTTCCTCTGAGCGACGCAGTGCAGTTACTTCGTTCCACTCAAAATTCATTCGTGGTATCGTACGTAACAAACACTCCTAAATCTGACTTATCATATCTCACACACTCTCTCTCTCTCTCTCTCTCTCTCTCTCTCTCTCTCTCTCTCTCTCTCTCTCATATAATATAAGAAAATATGGGGGTCAAATTCGTTACAGTTTGTCCAATACTCCTCTGTCTCAGATCAATCACAACCATCTTTATTTGTAAACTTCTCTCATTTCTTATTTATATCAATCCGCCTAGTCTTGGTAGTACTTATCTCCCTTGTATTGAAACTCTTACTCTTGTACCTGGAATGCATTTTGCAAAAGGTTAACATGATATTCATGTACAAGAATAATTATTTGTTGTAGCCAAAATTGGCAAATTTCTTCAAGAATTTATAGACACTTTTTCCTTTATTGCTATATTTCTTAATTTACCCCGGAACACTTTCGACTCTAAGTTTATTTTTCAACCATAGTATCACTGATGCGCTCAAAGGTTTATATCGTGCAGTAGAAATATTTACATTGTTTGGTTTTCTGCATCGATTATCACTTAATGTTTCTAAATGTACGTCATTTCTCAGTATTTCTGTATCTTTACAATATTCGTCTTTGTGCAGTTTACTTGTAACTTGTACCCTCTTGGTTTCTGCCATCGGCCTCATCATGATGATCATTATCATGGTCTGGGTCGTACTCATCTGCCTCATTTTGATAGTCATTGTCTTGGTCTGGTTACTCATCTGCCACATTTTGATAGCCATTATCTTGGTCTGAGTTGTACCAATCTGCCTCATCTTGATAGTCATTATCTCGGTCTTGGTCCTCTTCTACCTCATCTTGATATTTATTATCTTGGTCTGGGTCGTAAACATCTGCATTTTTTTGATAGTCATTATTTTGTTCTGGGTCGTACTCATCTGCTTCATTTTGAAAGTAATTTTCTTGGTCTGGGTCGTAACAATCTGTCTCATCTTAATTATCATTTTCTGTGTCTCGGTCCTCATCTGCCTCTTATTGATAGTCATTTTATTGGTCTGGGTCGTATAAATCTGCCTCATCTTGATAGTCATCATATTGGTCTTGGTACTCATCTGCCTCATTTTGACATTCATTATCTCGGTCTGGGTCGTATTCATCTGCATTATTTTGATAGTCATTTTCTTGGTCTGGGTCGTACCAACCTGCCTCATCTTGATAGTCATTATCTTGGCCTTGGTCGTACCAATCAGCCACAATTTGATGGTCATTTTCCTGGTCTTGGTCGTACTCATCTGCCGCAAATTGATAGGCATTATCTTGGTCTGGGTCGTACTCATATTCCTCATCATGATGGTCATTATCCTGGTCTTGGTCCTCATTTGCCTCATCTTGATCATTATCTTGGTCTTGGTCCTTATCGTCCTCATCTTGATAGTCATTATCCTGGTCTTGGTCGTACTCATCTGCCACAATTTGATAGGCATCATCTTGGTCTGGGTCATACTCATATGCCTCATCATGATGGTCATCATCCTGGTTTTGGTCCTCATTTGCCTCATCTTGATCATTATCTTGGTCATGGTCGTACTCATCTGCCACAATTTGATAGTCATTATCTTGGTCTTGGTCGTACTCATCTGCCTCAATTTGATAGGCATTATCTTGGTCAGTGTCGTACTCATCTGCCACAATTTGATAGTCATTATCTTGGTGTTGGTCGTACCAATCTGCCACAATTTGATGGTCATTTTCCTGGTCTGGGTCGTACTCATCTGCCGCAATTTGATAGGCATTATCTTGGTCTGGGTCGTACTCATATGCCTCATCATGATGGTCATTATCCTGGTCTTGGTCCTCATTTGCCTCATCTTGATAGTCATTATCCTGGTCTTGGTCGTACTCATCTGCCACAATTTGATAGGCATCATCTTGGTCTGGGTCATACTCATATGCCTCATCATGATGGTCATCATCCTGGTTTTGGTCCTCATTTGCCTCATCTTGATCATTATCTTGGTCTGGGTCGTACTCATCTGCCACAATTTGATAGGCATTATCTTGGTCTGGGTCGTACTCATCTGCCACAATTTGATAGTCATTCTCCTGGTCTGGGTATACCTCTACCTCCTCTTGATAGTCATTCTTTAGGTCCTGGTACTCCTCCACGTCACCTGGATAGTCATTCTGTTGGCTTGGGTCGTACTCATCTGCCTCATCTTAATAGTCATTCTCTTGGTCTGGGTCGTACTCATTTATCTCGTCTCGGTATGTATTCCATTGGTATGAGTAGGACACGTCTCGTTCGTATTGATTTTTAGTCTCTTGCTTTATGCAGTTCTCGTCACTTTCGTCTCGATCTTTGTTAACAAGGCTTTCGTGTGAGGAGTTATGTGCTTTCGTCTCAGGTTTCATAGAACTGTTATAAAATATTAGAAAACACTGTATAATAAATGACCTTGTAGCTTTGTATACTTTATGCATGTAGTTTGATTTTTTATTACATACCAGGTTAATCCTACTCTAGTGATTCAGGTGGTTTCAAACAATGCCATACATATATTGTTCCAATCAGTTTCGTTCGGTTTATAAAACATTCTTAACAATCCGTGAAAAAGGATCAAAACGATTATGTTCTCTACTGTTTGCATTTCCGTCAGTCGAAAGATTGATCTTTGGTACAATTTGGGAAATTCCAGATATTGTTTATTTGACATTTCGACATGATTGTCAGCGATTAATCAAACAATATAATAAAAGTAAAACTAAAACAGTTTTCAATAAAAAAAGATTCACGTGAAACTTTTGAATTATTTCATTAAAACATTTTGAGTAATTGGTTGTATTAATACCATATACGATGGAAATATAAATAAAAAATAATGTTTGAAAGTTAACTTACCTATTAGCTATTGATATGTTTTTAGTGATTCTGTTATCAGGGCACACGTCTGGTTTGTTGATTGAAGTCCGAACAACCGGTTTCACATGTAAGGGTGAATTACTTTGATAGGGATAAGACATGCCTTTGGCCGCAATGCTTGAAGACTGTTCATTTGGTCCCGGTATTGCAGCACTATTGCTTTGTCGATGCTTATAAGATCTCAACCGATCATGGCTTTTGAGACCTGGTCTGCCATCATTGATGGTTATGAATTCTCTAGAAGGAATCTCGTTGCTTTCTGCGACCGTGATTTCAGTATATCCGTTTTCGTAATCCTCGTCATCAAAGAAGGATGATTGGTCGTCAGAACACAAGTCATCAGATGTCTGGTCATCATTCCAATGTCTCCAATGATAACCACCTGGATCGCGCCGTACACGAATATCTGTCCCGTCATTTTTTGTTGTTAATTTTTTCCGAGGAATCCTACGACGGCCCTTTTGGACCGGAATTTCGGTACATTGTCCAAGCTCTTCGAGCTTCCGAAACACCCACAATCTCCTGTTATCGGCCGAGTACCAGTTTTCATTCATATAGACGACAGTTATAGGCGGTATCTCCGAGATATTACACTTTCCTGTCAACAGGGCATCCAATGTTTCACCGATATGTGTATCGGCATGATTGGTTTTTTCGTGGAAAACATTACTGATAGAATCTTGACTAAATCGTATTTCACTCGGTCGTAGAGTCAACATTTTCTCGATGCCTGACAATATAAATCAAGATATATTTATCACCCTGGACTATATCAATGTCAGCTTTGGTAATATTAACATTATTAACAATCCGTAAAAAAGGATATGGCAGCAGCATCATGTTATCTATTGTTCAAATTTCCGAAAGACAATAAATAGATTTTTTTGTAATAATTCGAGAATTTCCAGATACTTTTTATTTTATCTTATGTCACAAACATGTTTGTAAGCGATTAATCAAACAGTATACATGTAATACACATGTAGATGTCGTAACAACCGAACAGTTTTCAATTAGATTAAAAAAGTTTCACGTGAAATATTTGTGTTCTTTCATTAAAGTTTGATAGTTAACTTACCTATTAGCTATTGATACGTTTCTAGTGATTCTGTTATCAGGGCACACGTCTGGTTTGTTGATTGAAATCCGAGCCATCGGTTTTACCTGTAAGGGTGTATTATACTAATATCCTGTTATCGGCCGAGTACCAGATTTGTTACCTGTTGGTGACAGCTATAGGCGGTATGTCCAAAATATTACACTTTCTTGTCAATCGGGCGTTCAATGTTTCACCGATATGTGTATCGGCATGATCGGTATTATTGGAATTTACTAAATCGTTTTTCACTCGGTCGTAATTACAACATTTTCTCGCTGTCTGACAATGTAAATCAAGATCAATGCATTACTTATATATATATTTACCATCCAAGGACTATACCAATGTCAGTTTTCCTTCAGGTTCAATGACGACATTTAGGAATAAACGTGCACTGTACCAAGATGTTGATTTATTACGTTTAACGTATTCGCTTGTATTTTGTTAGGATTAAAACGTTTCAAAATCATGACTTGATCCTCATATGGCATGTTATCCCCTTGATACTTTAATGGTATATCACGCTTTATTGAGATAGGATAGTCTAAATAAACATCCTCTTGAACACGTAACTTTATTTAAATGTGTTGGAAACGTTCCAAATGACACCGATACAACGCAATTATTTCAGCCCAGTCCATTGTCACTAGATACGTCAAAAGATAACTATACGACTGTGCTGTCTATGTATTAAATTACAGGCTAATCGTTAAAACACATGTCTTTAAATAGTCATTCAAAAGGTTTAAGGCCCAGTTGTGCAAGCTTTATGATATATCAAGTATTTTCTGACTGTTTGTGGAAGGTGATATTGTGATCTGCTTAGCCGCAATTGCCATATTGATACTTTAAGTAATACAAATTCAGGCAATTTTAGTCAAACAACAGGCCAAATAGGCCTGTATCGCTCACCTGGTATTAATCTCTCACTTGTAACCTAAAAATTGACTAAAATCTATGACTGTAAGTCATTCAAAAATAAATGTTAAAAGATTGAAACATATATGACCCCTATGATTTTAAAAGTCTAACAATGTCATGAAGACTTTATAGCCCTTCATCTCGGCATGCAACTTGCAAAATATCACCACCCTAGATCTTTTGTTTATTGAGATAAATATTTTTACACATATGGCAATATGTTACGGTGAACTTAAAGTCTTAGCATGTTACTTGCGAATTATCATTATTTTGGGCCTTTATGTTCCTCAAAAAATCTCCTTTAAAAGTTTTAAAGACAATAAACTCCTATGACCTTAAATATAAGTCGTGGTAATTAATTTAATCAAACTTGGTATCACTTCATCCCAACATGTTACTTGCCAAATGTCATCATCCTGGGCCTTCTAGTTATTAAGAAGAGGTTGTTTATATGATTTAAATATATTTGACCCCTGTGGCCTTGAATATACGCAAAGGTCATTCATTTGCGCAAACTTGACAGTCCTTAGTCCAACCATGCTTCTGACGAAATATCATCGCCCTAAGCCTCTTGGTTCTTGCAAAGAAAACGTTTAAAGTAAAAGGTTGACAACGGACTGACGACGGACAGACTGACAGACAGACAACCAGAAAGACAGGCAATAATCTCCTGATCCTTTTGGTTATGCAAAAGAAGTCCTTTAAAGATTTTAAACATATTTGACCCATTTAACCTTGAATATAAGTCAAGGTCATTCATTTTAACAAAGCTGGTAGCCTTTCATCAAAACATAATACTGGCTAAATATCATCATCCTGGCACTTCCATGCTATTCATGCATAGTGTTTAAACAAATGTTTTTAAAATAATTGACCCATGTGACCTTGAATATCAGTAAAGGCATTCATTTTATTCAGAAAAAGTTGTTGAAGTAAAAAGTTGACGCCGGACGGACGAAGGCCGCCGCCTTTCGGGCCAAGTTAGATACAAAACCTGACACAAAACTTTATACACAGAGTAGTAAATGTTCGGGCCTAGATTATTCCTTTCAATGTATTTAATTGTAGAGTGCAATGTTTTTTCGTGTTATGGTCAGAGCTCAGATATTTCTTCACTTTTAATAATTGAATATCATATTGGCACACACAGAGGTACCTCTAATACAATCTAACCATACAATTCCTAGGACAATAACGTTTACCTTGCATACATAATAATTTTTCATTTTTCATTTTTTTTTTAAATGAACAAAAATCAATTCAAATTAATTTGATTTTACAGCAGGTTTATTTCACAAAAATCATAACTGTTGAAAAATTAGAAACATAAAATATTATTTAAAGCACTATAACAGTCCATATATTAATGCTGAGTCTTTAAGTCTTGTTATTTCACATTTGTTTCATTTCGATCATATTAGTGTCAAGCATGAACTGAAACACAATCTCGTTAATGACAGACAATTATATGCCCGTCTCTTATTTCAGTTCACATATACGTACATTGTAAAAATGTTTTAACAAAAAGATAAAAAATCTATCTTAATATAAACCAAAATACATACCCACAAATGATACGCACTACTGCATTCATCACAAAGGTTGTAAAATATACACCTAACGTTGTTTAATCTGCATACAGTAGAAGTGTACACTATATATTTTGACAATGTACGACCTAAAAACATTATATGATATCCAACTTCTGGGAACCACCACGCTAGTTGTAGTTTCATTTTCGGTAATTCTTGATATAGTAGCATCGTTAGTATATCTTCGCTCGTGAAAACACAAGACAGCACTACCCAATATAAATGTTATGTTTATACATTCCTACCTGACTCAATGTAACAATGTCACGACTAGATACACGCTAATAATTACCCAAGGTCATACTTCTACTTCTTATATGCCATCCTAACCCATGTCAGTGTATTTAAGACGAAAAAACCCAAAAGTCTTACCCAAGTGATGTAATTTGAAACTAACTACATACCATCTTTAATCTTTACTAAAGTTAATTTATTTTAATACTAGATATAAGTCATGTTTGTAAAAAATCATAAGGCTCGTTTACCCGTCCCTCTAAGATTTTATAGCATAGCTGTATTTGAATAAATGGAAAAATAATGTTTAACCTAAAACCTATTTGCCCAGTGCATGATAATGTATTTCGATACTAAAATACATTATTGTTGTATTTTTGCCATATTGAATGTGTAAAATCAAACGAGATACATGTCATAATTTCCCAAATTAATGTATTTTCAATACTGGATCTATGCCACCTTTAGCGAAGTGAATGTACCTTAACACAAGATGCACACTATCTTTACAAACATGAACAAACTTCAATTCACAAAATACATTAAATTGCAGAAGTGTTGTCAGTCATCGTCTTCGCTTATTCCACTACTACATTCCATTATCCGATAATTGGCTGATTATTGATCACATTATCACAGCTCTGTAATATACACTTTACTCATTATTAATTTGAGATTATCCATTACTCCTTTATCTAATTCATGTAATTGAAGGGTTTTATGAAACTCTCCTTCTGTTCGACCTTTTTGGATTAAGGCCTTGTGGGATCCCTTACATCACCGATGAGTCCTAGTAGAACGAAATAGCTTAACGGTGCATTTTTTGGCTTACTGTATCTGTTAACATATTGTATAGATGCACTCCCTTTATGCTAACAGAGAAGAGGGTATTTATACACTATTCCTCAACTATCAATAACTTCTTGTATTCAAATCTTTTTCCTGAACTGGTAAAATAACCACCGCTTAGAACCGGGAACATTTCAAACATTATTAACGAGGAAGGTCAAGGACGTCGAGGATTAATTTTACTATTTGATAATACATATATGAACTCCAATGATCTCACCAATAAATACTTGTTTTACTTGAGAAATGTATGTTCTCTCAAAGCAAAAAAGGCATTGTTTAGATTTAATACTTTTTTATTGCCATAATGCAACTGAATTTGGCACAAGTCATACAATTTATATAAAGCTCTTTCCATAAATATAACAATCATATATACAACAAACTTACAAGATGGCACCCTCAAAATTACTTTAAAAATAAGTTATCGAAATGACAAATTGACGTACATGCGTTCACTCATTCACACACCAATACACACAAACTCACACGCGTTTATACGTATGTAAACATATGATGTGTGTGTGTGTGAGAGAGAGAGAGAGAGAGAGAGAGAGAGAGTGTGGATGGGGCGGGGAGAGAGTACGTAATACGAGTCCAAGTATAATCTAAATGTGGTATAAATGATCTCGGACCATGTAGTTGATCTTTCTCCATGCAAACGGAACTAGTGATAATCTGTTCGCTGTTCATAACGTTCTGCTGTTCAACTGTTTATCACTTTCCGTGCTAATAACGTCCTCTGGTTCACTCCTTGCTTGCTGGTATTTCCGTTAATACTAGTCCGCCTGCATAGAAATAAAGACCAAGGACAAGATCCAAATACATATTCGCATACAATCATATCTATGACGCGACTGTATGAAATACTATGATAATCGGAAATCGATTGACATATGAGAGAGGGAAAGGAGGGAGAGAGAGGGGTTGTAATTAACATCGATTAGAATCATGAATATATCGCTGAGTGTGCATGAAAATCCCAATTTTCTTTTGTTCCGAATGAGTTCTATCGCCAATAAAAGAAGTAGGTTGAATGTATGAGGTAGTTACGCCAACGATAAAGTTTAACTTAAGGCATTTTATGCATTTAGGGCATTGACATTTCGTCTTAACATTTTGTTATACAGTATTTTATTTTTAGACATAAATTGTAATAAAAAGAATATTATAAATGAAATACTTCATAACTAATCATCATGTAAATCTTAAACCAAAGGTTAATCTATCACATAATTCATTAAAACAAATTAAAACGTAATAACAAATATAAGTATAAAATAAGAAGAAATATATCACAGATTTATATGAATCAAAAATATCAAAGAATACACAATAAATGAAATGTTATTAAATAAAATGGTATGTGGCATGATTAGCATATTGTATGCTAGCAAAACGAACGGTAAAAAGTAAGCGTAATCTAAAATGCACACATGTTACATGTGGTATCAAAGTATAGGTAAATATCACATACGCATTATACCTACGTGATATGGAAAAAGGCGTGTTTTATTCTGTTTATTACATACTTACTAATAAAAACTACTATCTTATGATTTATTTTTATTTTTGAAATATTGAAAAATGATTTTTTTTCCAAAAGGGGTGTGATATGGGTTTTTGGGTGTGATACGGCGAGGGCTGATATGGGTAAGAGCAATTGTGCAGTATCGCATATACAAAAAACCCGTATTTATTCGTAAGTATGTAATAAGGGAAATATTACATACGCATTATACCTACGTTATCTTTAATTACATATGTCAAGCGCATGTTATGAAATATATATAAGACATATATTCTAGTTTGCTTCTAACATCAATAATGTGTTATATTTGATCTTTGTTTAATAATATGCTTAAGTTTTATCATTATCATGTATGTGCTTACAAATACCACAAACTCCTTCATTTATAATAAGAACAGACTCGTGAAATCATTTCTATAAATGGATATGATAGTTATCACCGTTATCGCATAGTTTATTTTTGTACTTTCGCCTGTATATTACAGAACTGACCACATACTGAGTTTTATTACTCCGTAATTACTTCAGTATGATCATAAACAGAGCTTAAATCATTGAGGGATTTACCAATCATTCTTGGCATCGTATTGTCCAGGAATTTTCGATCCTCTATAACAATCGCAGCGATTTCGGATTTTGTTGATTTCTGGAAAGCCCAAAGACGTCTATTTCCGTCGATGACACTCATTGCTGTTTCGTCTTGCCAAACAACGATGGGCGGTATATTTCGGCATTCCAGATTTTCAGAAACCAGTTCATTGACGAGAGTCCTTACGTTAACTCCTGAATGATCTCCTGAAGAAAAGGTCATTGGAATAACATCTTTGGTGAATTTAACACTCATCGGGTCAATGTGCGTAACATCCGGGGCCTTGTGCCAGTAGCCTCCTGGTTCCGCGTCGTCTTTTATCCCGACAGAAACACCACGATTTTCTGACGATCTTTTCATTGAGTCGATATAAGAGACCTCTTGGAAAGAAATCTCTTTACATCTGCCTGGAAGAAAGGAACGAATTTATGTTATATGATGAAATATTCGTGATAGTCATAGCGGTAACATATATACTATATACGGGGGAACATCCAAGAAGGGTAATAGACCTGGACAGATTGAAAAAACTAGGGTAGAAATGTTAACAACTAACATGAACATATATCAAACCTTTGTTTGGTTTCCATATGGTTGTGTTTCGATCTTAGCAATATTGTAATGTTGTTTTACTTTCATGTAATGAAAACGACAAACATCATTCGGACAGCAAAGTATATAAAACGATTCTACTGGGTATTCGTCCGCTTCAATATCCCACCCTGACCCTTTGTAAGTTTTTTTCTTGTGATAGAGGATGGATGTATTTTCAAATGAAAGGGTCTAAATATTAACCTTGACTCTGATTGTAGAGTCAATATGAACATACACAATGTGAGTTATCTATATGGTAATTAAACTGCATGAGCTATACAGAGGATACTTAATGGTTTCCCGTTGAAAACCATATATATCTCAATAGTTTGGCAGAATATCGATATTTTTCTTTAGGGCAAAGTACAAGTGAAAATATCGGAAATGTTTTTTCTGCCATAGGAGTGAAACCATTACATTTTCTGTGTTTTATTTATTTAATATTACTTACAACGACAAAAATGTCACTGCATCAAAACATTTCGGATTATAAAAAAAATCCTAAGTGCCATAAAGTAATGATGTCATGCTTGATAACAAGTCTGAGCGTCATTTCTGATGGGTTAACCAGTGAAATTTTACAGGTATCTACTATTTTTGATCAGAATTTCTTACATGAATAATATAGATTACGAAGGCAAAAGTATACATTAACATACGTAGAAAAGATGTCAACAGAAAATCTGCGACTTTGAATGAGGTGAATAGAAAGTGCCGTTCTGATTGGTCAATTTCAAAAGTGACATAGTCATCCATCCAAAACAACTGTATAATAAGCTTGGGGGAGACGGTGGTTACTGCGGCCCATTTTTATTTAGCCTGTGGTATCTGTTCAAATTTATGTGTAAATATAACATTTGAAAGAGAATTTCATAAAATAATAGCAAAAACACATCGGTATTTAAAGAATTAATAGAACCTTTTCTGTCAGGATATTGTGCAGCCGAACGTACTGCTCCCTTGGGGGAAGTTCGGACAGATAGTCTGGGATAGATTCGGCATATAAATGACGTCATTAAGTACGCAACGTCAGATTTTCCTGACACTGTCAGGACTTTCCACGTGTTGCCATTGCCAAATCTACCCCAATATCATTAGCCGAACATGACCCATATTCATATTTAGACAAATTATTTTATTATAATTAATGTACCATCTTGAGAAGTTGTCTGTGTGGTACATTTATAACATTACATAACTATTTTTTGAGGGGGTATTTTAAATATTTCGGAGTAATTCGGGTTATCAAAATTTTGCAAAGCTAGAGAGGGGTCAGGTCATAATGATTTTTCTACCATCCTAAAGCTAACTTTTCCCCTTTTATTGAGTTTTCCACACTATTGTATTTTTCATGTGAATGTTCCGTCTAGTCAATGGTCTGCTAAGATCCCAAAAATTGTGAATATATGCTCAAGAAACAAAATATCAGAGGAAGTCGAACTTAGCCCGGGGCCGCACTCTGTCCAGTCTCTCCTACCAGTAATATTGCAATATTTGTGTTTATAGTTTATGCATATTCATTACTTTAAACACTCTCTAAACAACAATAGCTGAAACTAGTCATTTGTACAAATATAATCTCCCTTTCCCCGTGTGTGCTTGATGTCGCAAACATATCAACGATATACCATCACAAATCGCAAAGGTAAGAACATACCTAGTCTTTCCAAGTGTCTGAAAATCCAAAGACGACGGTTGTCAGCGGTAATCCAACGAGTCTTCTTCCCGCCTACCAATATATCCCCATCTGTCTCCTCGTCTTCCTCCTGTTTTAAACTTATCTCCGGAAGTAATGTCATTGACAGTCGACCCTCCATTATATCGTCTAGGGTATCGCCAATGGTCATGTGTCCGTGTCCAGACCGCCGCCGAAAACGATGGTAGACTACCTTCTGACTAAAACAGATGTCAGACGGTCTTAATTTAGACGGTTTTGTATTTTCTGACAAAGACAATGATACCTCCATTATGATAGATGGCTCTAGATATGTGGGCAGTTACCTAACAAAATAACTGTATTTATAATGTATTATCACGAGTCGGCAAACGATTTCAGAAAGTATCTTTTTCGAAACCCAATATAGAATTTACAGAATCGAAACTGAAACTGAAATTAAGTTAACAGAAATTAATGTCAATCTTGTTTAAATATAGATGCTTCTCCTCTATTTACATTTCGATACGAAAATGGTCGAGTCATATGTATTATAAAATGAAATATATATTTTTTTTTAGTTTCCTGGGCTATCCCAGAGAATATAGCGATAAACAAAAACTGTTGTCGAAGTTTTGCCTGTAATCGCATTTGTGGTAGTATATTGTGATACCTGATTGTAGGTTTGATAAAATGTTGTTCGATTTTCTCAAAAATGCACTTATTGTTAATTTGTCATCTGGTAATTAACTAAAATGTAAGTTGTAAAAGTCTATATTTAGTAACATCACCACAAACGCTTACATCAAAGCGTGTGTAACAACATGTGACGTCTGCTAGGTGGAACAAAGCTGGCAGTACTCCACTACACATAGGTGACTCGCAATAAATAAGACCGGTGGGTGTAAAAAAATTGCGTAATTTTGAAAAAAATGAAATACACATTTTCTCCCATAATTCTCAAAATTGAAAGTAGCAATCTGTTCATAACAGATTGTTTCGTAAAGACATGTATCCCTCCCTTTATTTCTTTAAATATGTAAAAGTTTTAATTGATCTATCGAGAAAATGTTTCAAAAATATAATTAAAAAAACAATGGTTCGAGGGATTTCATAACCAACATCTGCAAACACGTCGCTAGTGTCATTGATAGGACACATAAACATAAGTTGTGTGTGAGGGCAATATAACGGTGAGGCCGTCTGGAAAAGTCTACAGAGTAAGTCGTAAATAACACATGTGCTGCGCAACACGTAATGCGATCAATACATGTGACAAGCAAGTGTGCGGAATGACTGTACAACGTCGCTATCTAAAAATAAACACGAAATATTGATCATTAACAAAATATGTGTACGAGTCTTTAATGCAAAATACAATTTTATATGTCATAAATTTGTGTATACTTTCGAACATAATTAAGGTACGATATGACGGTATTAGTTAATTATTGAAAGGAATGTTTATTTAAGTGGAGATATTGATGCTAGTAATCTTATATTTTGTTACGAAAGAAGTTGAAACAGAATGAAAGTGAAGATAATTTTCACAACGTTATTTTACCCACAGTTTTGCGTTCGATGTGGTATTATTCAGGAAGAATGTAAGAGTTATGCCCCTTCGTCTACATATTGCTTTTATTTGAACAGTTCAGAATAAAAATTTAACGATTTCATGTGAAGCATTCTTATTGGTCGGGATGGTAGTCAAAAGTTGGTTCTAATGTGTGTGGTAACTGGAGATCCAGAGATATCCCACGTGGTCGGCAAAATGATCTCATACCTGTTTACGTCCAATCGATGGAAGGCGAGTATACTGTCCACTCGGCCACACATTTACTGAAGCTCAGAGCAAATTCCTACCTCACAAGAAAAGATTGTTCGTTGCGAAGTAAATATTCGTCTGCTAGCTAGATGCAGGTGATGATCACACAGAAAGAACTTTTTTTTCTATTCTAGAAAGCCGCCATCAAAGCATTGCAGAGAACGGGAGGAACGCCATCACAAATACCTGAAAAAACACAGCATGCCTCAGCTAGTAATGGTAAGGACCAAGGATCTATTGAAAATAGCGAAAGTGTGACATATTTACCTACTAAATGTCAATGAACAGGAATCATCAAACACAGCTCACAAGATCCCTGTTTAGAGAACACATGTTTTCATTATTTCTAAACATCGCTCTAACAGAATTATTGCCTAACCCCAAAACCGGGTCGTGAACTAATAACATGATTTCTTTCGTTCATTCCTTGGTAAAAGTAACGATTTGGCCTATCAAAGGTAGTGTTGTGTTTGCAGGCGAAACAAAAAAGGAAGAATAGGGAAAGAGGTACCTTTGGGAGTCATCCCTGTTCTTTAAAAAAAAACAGAAGGAAAAAGAGTGTTTCAGTTTACCTTCATAGGGGGGTATATGACCTCCTAAATTGACTTTGACCCCTCAAAATGTTAGAGGCTTGCTATAGAAAGAGGACAGAATTTGGTAATTACGTCTGATTTTACCACAAACTTTTATGTCTCGTAAAATAAACTGGAGAAAGAATAAAAGTATAAAAGCAGTAAGTTTATATGTCTGTCCTACACATTGTTATAGACCATTGATCATTTGATAAAATTCTATCCCAATGCACAAACTTACAAAATAACGAAGGAAGATTGAATATTTCTTTATTTGATAAAAAGATATGAACATATATAGTTTACATATTTTGGTCCATCCAATGTAAGTTCCTTATAACGATTGGGAGCATTGACTTATCATCCTTGTCATTTGTATTCATTGTGGCTGTTAAAATTATTTTTCATTTGTCACAACTTTCATTTATTGCGTTTGGTATTTATTTGTCTTTACGTTTATATCAAATAAAGTGACTCTCTTATGTGTACGTCGGTTTCCGATACGTAGGTGTACTTACATACAGGTGTGGATTACGGATTACGAATGTCTCCGGGGCGGTATATTTGCTGCAATATCGTATAAGATGCTTACCAGTATCATTGCACAAAGATCCCAATTGAATGACACAAATTGTGGTAAAAAATGATAATTAATCATACTTTATCTCATTGTGAAGTTAAGATATATGTTACACATTAAACATACAGGTAATCCATCGGTAATACATTATTTTACGACCAATCGCTGCATGAGCATCCGTTTTTCGTACTAAATAGTATGCCAATTAATGTTTATATAAACCTTCTGTCAAACACAAATTGATTCACCTTTCCCTCTAAACGTTCTTTTTATCAAGTTTACGTTGAAAAATACCTTTCGAATCACATCTAAAAAATCACTCAAGCTACAACAAACTTTATGGTAATAAAGTTTTTACAAACTGTTTACTGATTAATATAGTTATCACAAGCACTGTTGTTAAAGTGTAACACTAATTGATTTTGACACATTATTCCATGATTACTGTTTCACTCCTTGTATCAACACTGTCGTGTACCTGTGTACGGCAACTGTTGATTTGTGCCGTTTCTTGTTTACACTTCGACTAATAACAGTAAATCAACAGAACACAAAGGTAATGTATAATTATTAATTTATCTTTGAAATAATCTGATAAAAGAAGAGTAAATAACGATTATTTGAACTTTTGTTTAGTTTATATATCATAGTAAACGACCTTTATAAGTATAGAAACAGCTAATTTTGAATACCAATCACTGAAATTAGTCGAAGCATGAACAGGAAACGGGACAAAACAACCGTGGCCGTACACAGCTATACGACAGTGATCAAATGATCATGCCCAACAAGATAAACCAACCACTGTAGGTCATCCTCATCTCACATCGGCACCTGCCTTAAGGCTCGGGTCGTATAAGTTGAATTTCTTTACGACCATAGCCGTTGGTTATTAATCTGTTCTCGTCGAACATCCGAAACACGAGGAATATTTTGCTAAACTTGAAGGGAGGACCAGGAGAAGAGTCTTGATTGTGAACTTTCGTTGGTCCACAATATTCAAGAAGTGACTGAAAAGTGGAGTGATCGTGAGAAAAGACTTTGCCCAGGAATCGAACGATCTGGAAAAGGCGAATTTACTCTTGATCGTCCATGCCCTCGGCTATAACAAATCAAAATATTATGAAAGTATGGTATGTAAACCATTGCACAGACAAAGCATAAAACAAAAATGGTAAATACCATGCATGCTTTAGGTCGATTAATATTTGCTGCTGTTCGATAAAACTAAATATTATGAAAGGAAAGTTTTTAAAGACGCTATCAATTAATCAAACGTGTAATAAAATTTATCTATTTGATGTCGATGCGCCCTTCGTCCTTGTGATCTTCTGTTCTCAGAGCGCTGTGACCCCAACCTTGCGGAACGTGAATTCGGCCTAGATGTACCAGCTGTAGAAGGAGGTTGCAGTGTCTTACAGTGATGGCTACCTGCATCGCCGCGTAACCGGACTGTTTTTCCGGCATGTCTTGCTGTTAGTTCTTCTTCCGTCAAACCGTCATACACTTTTCGGACGGGGATATCTGTACATTTCCCGAATCTCTCCAGCATCTGAAACACCCACATCCTCCTTTTATCAAGTGTGTACCAGAATCTACGGCTTTTGACGACCCTGATTTCTGGTATATCAGATATTTTAAGATGTCCTGTCAACAGATCATCCAATGTTTCGCCGATTGACTTATTAGGATGATCTGAGTTTCTGGCAAAAACATTATTGATAGAATCCTGGGTAAAACGTATTTCACTCGGTCGTAGAATCGTCATTTCCTCCTATATGACAATGTAAGTATGACAAGGCCGTATTACAGATATCTATGTAAAGCTTTCAGGGAAATGCATATATCAGTTACCTGGTTTATGATAACGTCATTAGTGATAGGAGATTAGATGCATGTTAGCAATGATAGAATTTTATAAAACGCATGCACTAGGCTGATTGATTTATAAATATATCTCCTATCCAAGTATCATCAGATAAATTGATTTGATACTTTTATATGTAGTATTAATTGACATTTGCTATTTTGAAAAAAGTCCCAACATATTAGATTGGATTGGAAGTTTCATTGTCCTATATTCATACAAAAACACGGTACGATTTATAAGCGTTTTATTTATAAAAAATGCATAATATCTTGTGATCTCTCATAGCAAAATTTATTTACGAATTAATGGTCTGAATCACTCTTGTATGACAATAACTAGATATGTGGATTGCTTAAGCTTTTGCTAGAATGCATCGCTAGACCTATGTAATTCCCGTCGTCCTTCTTAGCGGGTTCCATGATGTATCTAATACAGCATATTTACATAAATCATATAAAAAAGCATGAACCAACTTGACGAAGTTGGTGAATCAGGCATTAGTTTATGTCAGTACCCAATCTTAATGCTAAAGAATAATGATATCTGAAAAATTA